CCCCAAAACCCCAAAACCCCAAAACCCCAAAACCCCACACCAAGATAATTTTATAGAATATAAATTAGAAAATGCTTGACTCTTTGTTCGCAGGTAAAAGGAATGAGTTATCAAAAGCTTTGAAGAAGCAGGGCGCTAAGAAGAAGGTTAACCCAGATACGCCTTCTAAGGCTGGGACACCTCCTCCAAAAACACCTGGAGGTACCACTCCTAGAGGTAAAACTCCAGGAGGTAAAACCCCAGGTGGTAAGACTCCAGGTGGTAAGACTCCTGCTGGTAAAACTCCAGGGACGACAACTCCTAGAGTCGAAGATGATGGAAAAACTCCTGAACAGAGAATTAATGAGAAGAAGAGAGGTCCCCAGACAACTCCATACGGACATGAGTCTACTTTTGTTCCAGAGAGTAGAGACATTCATGAAGTTAAATACAAAGGTATCAGGAAATCATATCGTTTTGATAAGGATGCTACGCTAGGCTCCCACATTCAGGATAGGTTGAAAGAAGAAATTATTGAAGATTTTCGATTAACAAAGCAATACAAAGCTACATTAACTAAAGCTCAGAAATAAGGCTCTTCCACCAGATAGGGTTTTGAGACTTGAACGATTTCGAAAATCAGCAAAGAAAATTGACTTTGATCCTCGTGTGGATGAATATACTAACCCAAAGCCTGATCCTTACATTTATAATATGGGATACAACCAAACTACAGTTCCAACTCTTGTTCCTGAGAAGCCGCCTGAATTTACTGGAAAGACAGGGTATTATGGAAAGCAGGGAACTTATACCTTGCCAACTACCACAAATAAAGATCACCCAGTTTATCATGATATGAAGAAGTACAACCCTAAATTCTCATATAACAATGACCTTGTTCATACAAATCTTGCCAAAACTATTGTAAGAGAAGAAGAGAACAAGTGGAGAGGAACCAAAGATCTCAGAACTTTGAGTAGGAACTTCACATCATTATCAAAGAAAGAGCTTGAAGAAATGGCTAAGAAGAAAATTGATAAAAGATATCGATACCTAGACTTTGATCCAGATACTGACCTTATGCCTGAGGAAGTCAATCCATATGATTCTTCAATGAGAGCAACTGTTTATAATCCTTTTGGGAAATTATTAGGGAATCCAACTTTAAAGACACCTTATAGGAAGGATAGAGAGTTAGGAATTGCTATTGAGGATAAGCCAAAACTGATTACCTCAGAGACAGCCCATCTTTATAGTGCAGGAGGTTTTCCACCAGCTACTGGGACTGGAAGATCTGATCATTATGGCGCTACACCGAGACTACAATCATCTAGAAGATCTATGCCAAACCTCCACAGTTCTCAAAATATAGAAGAATTAGCTCCTCCGAGGACATTTCATGAAGTCCAAGAAAGGAAAGCTATGTATTTAGGTGAGCCTGGTCAAAAATTTACTTATGCTGCTTTAAATACAGAAGTGGACAACAATATTGTAAGATCTATTCATCCTCCTACTCAGCCATTTCATATGAGGACTGCTCGGAGTAAAATTCCTACTTCAACAATGAACCCAACTTTTGTTCCTCCATCAAGAATGAAATCTGGATTTGTTACTTCGTCTTATAATCCTGGAAATATTAAGCCTTCCACTTCTCTACAACCACTGATTGAAGGGATGTTTGATAAGGATCCTTATGGGACCCCAGGGCCTCTTCCTGAAACAGCTCTAAGAGAACCAACAGCTATTTATATCCAACACTACGCTTCAACTGCTGAGGAATGAATGATCAGATACTTTATGGACACTTTTTCGATAGAGAAATAGCGTTTTTAGGTACACAATTCCTAAAGATGTAACTTCGATACAAATTTCTCCCACGCAAATTTTTCTATGAGGTGGAATTAAGCATGGAACAAGGAACACTCCTTCTGCTTTTTGAGGTATCTTTGAGTGCATCACTGGAGATCTAGTGCTTCTTCCAGAAATGAATATCCCTCGGTTTGGTCATGCAGCTGAGTATCTTAACAATGAGATCTATGTCATTGGAGGTACTGACCAATCCAAAAATGCAACTAGTTCTGTTGAGAAATTTAGTATGATCAGCCAAGATTGGACATTCATCACTCAGCTTAAGTATCCTAGATCTAAGCTTCTCTCATGAACTTCTCACGAATCCAGCAGCATTTATGTAACCGGTGGAATTGATAAAAGATCGAAAGAGGTTATTATGGAAAGGTATTCCCCGCACACAGAAAGCTGGCAAGAAATAGAAATTGTGCTAGATTTTCAAATCATAGCTGACCGTACACATATGTGCATTTATAACGAAAGTACTAAGCCTGCTCCTGATACCCGTTCAGAGGCAGTTTATGATCCAGACGATAAATTAATCTTCATTCACTATGATAATATTGTCTACCCAGTTCCGGATATTTATTTTCTAAGCATCGGCCAGGGTGTGATCGAAGAACTGAAATATGATAAAACTAATTCAGCGATTTCAACTTATTACAAGAAAAGAGTTGTTTATGATAAGCAGCTGAAAAAGATCATTGCCTTCAGCGGAAGCAGCTACACTGTCGTTGATATTTTAGACGTTAATGAAGAGTTCTGCTTCTGGCAACCCTTTGAATTCACTAAGTAAATGTACTATATATTTATATTTCAAAAATATCATGAATCCTTGGGGTTTTGGGGTTTTGGGGTTTTGGGGTTTTGGGG